GCTTTGCAATAAAGTATATAGTGTTAATGAAGTTACATTCTAAAGAAAACTAAATGTTTTTTAAAATAAGTTTGTTAATGTTGCTTAAAATAGTTCTTTGTCATATTTATGATCATTTGTTTTAGGGAGAATTTGATCAGAAATGTTTGCGCTCATATTGAGATCTCTGATGTTTGGTTACCAATTTTATTTTAGTATTTATATATACTATAATAGTATTTATTAATATTTTTAATTATCTTTTATCTGTTATATTTTTAATTAATTTAAGTTTTAGTTTAAGTTAGTCATTTTGTTATATGCTTTTGTCATTTTTTTTATTTAATGTTTGCTTTTTTAAATTGTAGTTTTATTTTTTTTTTTCTATTAATTGCCAAGATAGCATTTATTTATTTATTGTTTGTTTGTTTAAAAGTTTAAGTTTCTCATCTAATATTTACCGTATTTTTTTTTTTAGCTATGTTTCAATTAATAAAAAAATAATAATACTTTTAATAAACAATATAAGCACTGTTACAGACTTCGGCATCAAAACCAGAAGACTATTCAAAAGTCTTTATTTCCTTCATTTAGTCTCATTGCTGGCAAGGAGAAACAGTTGAGATGTTAGAGATCTCATTTGTGATTTCTTTCTTAACCACTACACTAGCCTGATACAGTAATACACAGTAGTATCTGTCTCAAACCCTCCTTCCCCTTTGGCGGTGACCTGGAATGGACGATTCCTTCAGAACATGGAGGTGTATCTTTGCTGAAGCTGGTGTTGGTTTATTCCCACTGGGGTCTATTACCAGACCTGCGTGTCACACAAAGGCCTGCGATGCATAATTGCGACCCTGCTGTGACCCTAGTCCTTGTACCTAGTCCTTCGTACAATGCACCTTCCCAACAGAAAACAAACAGCAACAAAGGCAGCTCCTCCAGCAGGACGAGTTGTTCCTCTGGTGCACGTTCTCACACATCGAGAGACAGACCGCAGGCCCTCCAGGGAGTCTCCCTCGCCTCATTTGGGCATATTCTCTCGTTGCAGGGCTCATGCTAAGCTCTTTATGAAGGCTTTCCCAAATTCTCCTTCTATTGTCTCTCAGAGAAACTCTCCAGCTGTAGTGTAGCATAAAAGAACCATCCTGTGAGAAAACGAAACTTTAGTGCTTCAGTGACACTGTAGTTTAACCACAGAGGAGTCCGGTTTCATCATTGTGTTTGCGGTGGAAAACCCATAAACAGTGTTTAACTGTTTCAGTGCCAAAATGGAATTTGATATGTTGGGCTGCATGTTATGTACAGTATGTATATGTATTTATTTGAATTTATTTATTGATTGATTATAATTGGAATTTGAACCACTATTTATTTATTTATATTCTTTCTTTCAAATCATGATTGGGGTTTGATCTGGAAAAATAATAAAAATCATTAAAAAATTTCATTTTCATCCTTAAAACATTAGATATTTAAGTGTTTTTAGAGCATAATTATTGTAATTGTAATTCTTGTATTTTTTTTGTATAATATAATAAAATGTAATTAGATGCTTAAAACTAGAAACTTTTTTCTAATGAAGTCTAAGAAGGATAAAATATATTTAAAAAAAAAAAAATGATATTTTTTGCATTTCAAGTAGAATATTTAGATATTTTCCTAGAAAACAAGACTTTTTTTTTTAGCTATGTTTCAATTAATAAAAAAATAATAATACTTTTAATAAACAATATAAGCACTGTTACAGACTTCGGCATCAAAACCAGAAGACTATTCAAAAGTCTTTATTTCCTTCATTTAGTCTCATTGCTGGCAAGGAGAAACAGTTGAGATGTTAGAGATCTCATTTGTGATTTCTTTCTTAACCACTACACTAGCCTGATACAGTAATACACAGTAGTATCTGTCTCAAACCCTCCTTCCCCTTTGGCGGTGACCTGGAATGGACGATTCCTTCAGAACATGGAGGTGTATCTTTGCTGAAGCTGGTGTTGGTTTATTCCCACTGGGGTCTATTACCAGACCTGCGTGTCACACAAAGGCCTGCGATGCATAATTGCGACCCTGCTGTGACCCTAGTCCTTGTACCTAGTCCTTCGTACAATGCACCTTCCCAACAGAAAACAAACAGCAACAAAGGCAGCTCCTCCAGCAGGACGAGTTGTTCCTCTGGTGCACGTTCTCACACATCGAGAGACAGACCGCAGGCCCTCCAGGGAGTCTCCCTCGCCTCATTTGGGCATATTCTCTCGTTGCAGGGCTCATGCTAAGCTCTTTATGAAGGCTTTCCCAAATTCTCCTTCTATTGTCTCTCAGAGAAACTCTCCAGCTGTAGTGTAGCATAAAAGAACCATCCTGTGAGAAAACGAAACTTTAGTGCTTCAGTGACACTGTAGTTTAACCACAGAGGAGTCCGGTTTCATCATTGTGTTTGCGGTGGAAAACCCATAAACAGTGTTTAACTGTTTCAGTGCCAAAATGGAATTTGATATGTTGGGCTGCATGTTATGTACAGTATGTATATGTATTTATTTGAATTTATTTATTGATTGATTATAATTGGAATTTGAACCACTATTTATTTATTTATATTCTTTCTTTCAAATCATGATTGGGGTTTGATCTGGAAAAATAATAAAAATCATTAAAAAATTTCATTTTCATCCTTAAAACATTAGATATTTAAGTGTTTTTAGAGCATAATTATTGTAATTGTAATTCTTGTATTTTTTTTGTATAATATAATAAAATGTAATTAGATGCTTAAAACTAGAAACTTTTTTCTAATGAAGTCTAAGAAGGATAAAATATATTTAAAAAAAAAAAAATGATATTTTTTGCATTTCAAGTAGAATATTTAGATATTTTCCTAGAAAACAAGACAAAGTGCTGATTGAGAAAATTATTTTCTGCAATGAAAGCTGATAAATGTTTGTTAAATGTTTTGTGTGAAATGTATGAAATGTTTTATCCTTGCTCTGCTGCCTGTAGAAAGAGTTGCACTCTTTATTAGTGTTCACACTTGATGCAAAAGTGAATCAAATGAAAAACAATCCAGATCCTCTTCAATTCCCATTCTATATGCAATCCTAAAGCAAATCAAAGTCAGGGCAGCTCTCAGGATCGAGTTTACGTGGAGCATTATTAAATTGATTTCACATTAATAACCGCACTACGGTATGCCATATCAGAGTTTTGATGTTATCTCTAATAATTGAGCAGCCCTTGTGTGTTGGTAAAGCTCAATTAGTGTACGTTCAGAGAACAGTTAGAGCATTTAGTCCCGTGTGTTTCCTGTCTGCACCTGCTATTCTTAATGATGCCGATTTGCATAAAGTTGTTTTATCCTCCATTATCTTCTAGCAGTGAGAGTGTGGTGACCGCTGGACGCTGTTTGCTTTCTCTCTGATTGTGCTCATCCGCTCCTCATTTCCCATTTCAAACACGCTTTGAAACACTCACAGCACATTATGTAAAGTTCCGTGCTGTTCCCTTCACTTACCTCTCAACCACATATCAGAGAAACAGAGCTCTCTGTCTCATAGATTAAGTTTACATCTTTTAATGACATCCATCTCGAGTAATTGAAATCACAAGTGGACCACGCCAAATGCAAGTGTAAATGGGGTCCCAAAGACACATTGTGATCTGATCGTTCAATCTGCTTATAGAAAAAGCACATACTTAATAAAGAAATTATGTTTATTAAGCAATTATGCATTTAATTAATCAAAAATGACAGTTTATAATGTTTTCTATTTCAAATAAATGCTGTTCTTTTAAACTTTACATTCATCAAAACGTTTCCACAAAAATATTGGGCAGCACAACTGTTTTCAACATTGATAATAATCAGAAATGTTTCCTGAGCAGCAAATCAGCATATTAGAATGATTTCTGAAGCATCATGTGACACTGAAGATTGAAGTAATGATGCTGAAAATTCAGCTTGGCATCACAGCAATAATTAACATTCCACAATATATTCACATAGAAAAAAAAATTATTTTAAATTGTAATAATATTTCACAATATGACTTATTTTACTCTATTTTTGTTCAAATAAATGCAGCCTTGGTGAGCAGAAGAGACTTTTTTCAAAAACAAAAATCTTATCAACCCCAACTTCTGAACAGTAGCGAACAGACAAAAGAATCACCCAAAAATTTATATTTCTCACCCTTATGTTACTCCAACACCTGTGTGACATACTTTATTTGAACACAAAAGAAAAAACGTTGAGTCCAAACAATATTGGACCCTATTGACCTTCATAGAAAGAGACACAAAGAAGCATTTTTCAAAATATTATCTTTTGTGTTCCACAAAAGAAAGAAAATCATAAAGGTTTGGGACATCATGTGGGTGATTTCATTTTTGGATGAACGATTCCATCTTTCTTATAACTGACAACATATTAAGTGATGTACATAGTCACACAAAATGCAGACCCTGAAAATGCACGAAATGCATTTGAGATGCATGATAATACCAGGTGTAAGTGGGGCCAGAGAGAGCAAGAGCTTTCCATGCCCTCTATAGTGCAAAAGAAGCATGTGAACACAACATGTAATTCTGCCTTTGCATTTCAGCAATATTTAGTACCTAATTTAGTAATGCCAGCATTAGACTTCCTGTAGTGAAACTGTGGGTCAGACAGAGCCAGCCGTTCTGTGAGGTGTCACTATAGCCAGAGGGAAATCACCCCTCTCACCCTCATATATCCATGACCAGAAACACCACGGGCAGATTAGTCACGCCTCGCCCCGCTCGTATTTACATTAGCAGTGGATTTCACACCGTGATCTCTACTCCACCTCTGTGTCTTACAGTCATGCATTTCAGCTGCTACAGTCCGATCGCCCTGGGTGGTCCTGCGGACAAACATTTGTAAGAGCTATGCTTTAGAAAAATGAGCCGTGGTGCTTTTTTCTGACTGAAATAACACAGCTTATCGTGCAGTTCAATCATGTGTGCTGACGCCTCTCTCTTTGTTGTTTTGTGTGTGTGTTTTCCAGAGGACCAGATTCCTCACGGCTTCCCCACCATAGACATGGGCCCGCAGCTGAAGGTGGTGGAGCGAACGCGCACCGCTACCATGCTCTGTGCCGCCAGCGGGAACCCCGACCCGGAGATCACCTGGTTCAAAGACTTCCTGCCTGTCGACATTAACAGCAGCAATGGACGAATCAAGCAACTCCGTTCAGGTAAAAAGAACTTTGTAAACACACAAAAGGCAAACAATCTTGAAGAATAAACTACAATAAGCACTGATGATGATTGCAGACATTGAAGCCGGAGGCACCTGCTGAACGTGAATATTTTTCTAACCACCTCTTTTTTTGAACCTCATTGACAAAGACAATAGAGCACAGCAGTGAGTGGCCACTTTTTTTCCAGAAGATTTTTCCCATTCTTTTTCTCCATAGGGATTTCAGAAAATTCTTCAATACAAAGTTCTAAGGCTTGAACCAAAGCAGCTCCCAGATGAATCGCATTTCAACATTTGATTCAAAGCGCTTGAAAGTATTTGAACATTTAAAAAAAGGCAACGGTACAAGGCTGTGTGCATATTTCATGAGGGAATGATGGGATTGAATCAGAAACAACAGTACAATACAAAATTATTGCCTGTGTAAGAGTTTTTTCTTTTTTAAAGAAATTAATACTTTTATTCAGCAATTTTATATTCAGCATTTTAAATATATATTAACATAAAAAAACATATTTTAAATAATGTGATCATGAATAATTTGAATAATGACTTAATTTGAATAATATTTCTCAATATTACTGTTTTACTGTATTTTTGTTCAAATAAATGCAACCTTGGTGAGCGAAATATACTTCTTTCAAAACCTGACATATAAAATACCACATGTTTGACTTTATTATTACAAAATATTCAGGGTAGTGCAATTTTTTTCACTGTGAATTTGGTAAATCACAATGTATCATCATTTAACAACCTCAGAGCTCATAGTAAGTCTGTGTGGAAAGGTTTACATTCGCTAAATCTCTATGGAGGAAATGAATGGATTTTTCACTTTTGGAATCCTACTATTGCTGCGCATCTGTACGATAAGTGACATTTCAGTTCCAAATGAGCCTTCGGTTTCATTTCATGTCTTAAAGTAAATGGAAACAAACAGGAAGACAGAGTGGCTCACAGTTATTATTCACATAACCCTCCGGTTAGGACACACAAACATGATTAACATGACAGCACAGTTTGTTTTGATTAGAATCGTTGGCCCTTGTCAACGATCATTTCCTGCGTCAATCGTCAAACAGCTCCATATTTGTCAAATTATTCCAGGTCGGCCAATCCATCTCGCAGCTACCAGACAATCACATAATTTATTTGTTTGGATACAGTCCATTATTTGATCCTAAAATTAGCTTTTACCTTTTTCCATTAACGAATGCTAATGATTTCGATTCGTGACCTATACAGAACACCTAAGAACAAATAGGAAAAGCACTCATGATTCAATACCTCCCGCTTCAAACAGAACCTTAATCTCACTGGAACATGTCATTGTGCACGAGTAATTACCACCAGCCTCGCCAAAGCAGGTGATTCTGCCCTGGACACCAATCAACAATCTGTTTACAATGCAGGCTGGGTGATAAGCAGACAGGGAGGCCGAATCTGATAAAGAGAGATGGGATATGAGAGTGTCTCTGGATTGTAATCCTGCTTCTCTCAATATAAACGCACGCAAGCCTCTTACACGTGTGAGCCAAAAGCTGTTCATTACTGTGGACCCTTTTCACATTTAGGGTAGAATTTTACCACAGTTAGGTAAAATTCTACAGTGGTGAATGCAAACTACGTCAAATATAATATATATATATTTTTTTTTTTGTTCACATTTGCTCGAGTAGCAAATTAAAAAATCCACAATAACATTTCTATTACTTTCCAACAGAGGAAAAAAAATATTGAGATTGATTACGGTGGTAAGAAGAGAGAAGGAGGTCAAAGGATGTCAAACACAGAGTTTGCTGTAATTTAATGTCAAGGTAATATAACACATAGTGTTTTTAAATGTACTTTAAAAGTTTTTAACAATGGAAATACAATATTAAGAACTTTTTCTAGATTTTCTCTACATTTTTTTTTTTCTGGATTCTAGATGTTGATAAGCAGGGCCTAACACTAACATTTTCTAACACCTGCCATTGGCCAGTGACTTTAAAATTTACCAACTATACATTTTTTTTTTTTACTGGCCATGAAAATGTATGTGCATTATTTCATTATTTGAAAAAAGCCAGAACAAATTGGGGAAACGCATCTAATTGTAATCTAATTGTGGTGATTCAAACTCACAGCGCTTACGGAAATGGTCTTTACGGTCGTTTGTGTAGAGCAGTATTTAATGTGAACCGCTCCGAGACATTGAAAACACTGTTATCATGAGCAGCTCATGTGAAAAGATCACAGCGCTTCACTTTGAAACACGCAGCACATCAGATTACATTACAACACGGTCTATGCAATTTCATAATTGCACTATATTGCATTCTCAGGCATTGTTAGAATTCATTTTAAAAAGGTTACCGGCCAACTGGCAATTAACAGTTTTTGATGCTGTTTTTTTACATGCATTTGGTGCTTAGCTTTTAGGCCCTGTTAATTACTGTGGAAACGCATCAGTCTTTGAAAAGGGTCCATTGTTCAAAAAAAAATCTTTATCATGTCTGCACTTAATTTTCAGCAACATTTGTGCTAAAGACACAAATGTGTAATTACTTTTATAAGCAATCGAAACATTTTTTATCTGACAGATGATAAAAAAGCACAAATCCCATAGACATGCATTACTGATTTTTACCCACTACGCCACGCTAAGCTCTCAGGCCGAGGTGATTTATGAGGATTGGTGTGCCAATCTTTATGAACAGAGATGTGTCGGACTGATTATTGATTTCTCCTCAGTAAGATAATGGATGTCCAACTTAGCTGCTGTTTAAAGTCTTAAATACAGCCAGGATTGATAGCGACTGTCTTGGTGAACTCCTACTACCAACTGCAAAAATTAACACATACTTGAGTTTTCTCCCTCTAGCCATAGTGAAGATATAGTAAAGTCTTACTATTCTTCATTATGCTCGTGCTACACTGCAGACTCACCTTAAAGTCCTCAATTCTGTCCTGTTCTGGACATCCTGGGCTTTCTGAGGGTCCCAGTGTACGCCATGCTCTCTGTAAACTGCTGATGGACCACAATCCACACAGTTTACAGGGGCTTCCTCGTGTCTCTGACCCCCTTCCCAAATCTGCACTGTTTTCACATGGTGGAGTGGTTGACTTATGATCCAGATTGACATGAATCTGCATAGTCAACAAACTACATGGACTCTTTTTGATTAAAATCTAAGGCAACTTCACATATCAACATATTGCATAAGTATCTATAAAAAAACACTCCTAGGCATTTACTACAGGTTTGTACATTGTAATTATAATGTGATTTTGGTCAGAAAAAAAAAAACATGTAACAATGAAATGGCAAGTATCTGGAGCTTTTTCAAAGTTAAACGAGTCTCTTTTGAAATTAATAAGACTCAAGGGTCGGTCAATGCATTGAGACTGAACTATCACTTTGCAGTTTGCACAAAAAGGTTTTCTTCTGTGATGCTTCAGACAACTCTATTTATTTAGCACAGCTGTGGTTAAATTCAAAGGCCAAAGTTGTGCTGGAGGTAGAATGTGCAGCACTGTAAAAATAGCAAAAGACCCTTGTGCAGAGAGATGAAATTATTACTGGCTCACAAGAATGAGTCATTTAAAGTCCAAAACATACTCTAAACAAGTACAGGTACGTGAATTCTAAACTCGAGTACAAGGGATGCTTTTGCAGATATTACTGTAAACTCTTCTTCTATGGACACTACTGTCATGTTTTGCTGTGCAATTGAGTTCAAATTAATGTTTTATAGCCAGCTACATAAATAATAACGCATCTATTTTGATTGCACAGACATTTAGCACAGTAGCTCTTTTGAGTACTGGAGATTGAACATCATGTATGTACAACAGGACCATGCGTACTTGCATATTGTATGTTTCTGGCCTGAAGCAGCAATGTAAACTTCATAATGTGAATTAACACACACTGAGAACAGAAGAGCCGAACGTCTTCTGGGGAAGATTGTACATGCCGCTTCTTAAATAAGAAATATTTTTCTCCTGTTCATCTTTCCTCTTCTCTCTCTCTAGCTCTCTCTCTCGCTCTCTCTCTCTCTTTCACACTAACAGTTCTCTTTAATCTTATTTGCATTCATATTACCTCGCCAGGTGGTACACCAATCAGAGGTAAGAATGCTGAAAACAGAAAATATCCAAATGCGTCATCATTCGATTCCTCTTTCGCCCCCAAGTGTCCCCCTCCATCACCCTGTCCCCATCTTCTCTCTCATTCTGGAGTCTTTCTCTTTGTCTTCCTCCTCGTCTCTGTGCATGAACCTCTGCTCATCTGTCTCACTAATGGATGTCTGATTCAGTCTTACTGACAATAATACATCACTATACCAAACAAAAGACAAAAACAAAATATGCATCTGATTAACATTTTTATGGATTTAACAAAACCTGTCAAGAATTTATCCGTCATATCCGTCAAAATCTGAAGAAGAAATTACATTTTGCATAAATTATATTAATATCAAAAGAATATTTCAACATTAATATATTTATACAACTTTTATACTTCTTTGATTTTAGTTACACTATATTATGTTATATACTACATTATATATCATTTTAAATGTATTACATTGTTTAAATGCATAATAGTAATAGTAATTTATATTTTTTAAAGGTGGTTATACATATATTTTTGCTATTCTCAATAATGATACTCATTACTGTAATATATAAAAAAACATTTTTATATATCACAATCATGAGTATCATCATTGAGAATAGCAAGAATTATTAAAAAAAAACTATACATTAAAATGTATGGATACATTACGAAAATGAGAATTTGGGGAAATGTGAAAATTGTTTCTACATTAATATGTTTATATAAATTGTATACATAATGATACTAATTTGTTTTTATCTGTACTACATTATAGTATATGTAATATTATTTTTATCATATGTTATTTTGAGTATCATCATTGAGAATAGCGATAATTACCAAAAAAGTCTCAAGTAAAATATCTGAATATATTAGAGTAAGAATGTGGGGGAAATGAGCTTAACTGTCATTTTCTGCTGAACTGACCTTTACTTACTGTCCGGATGGCTGACCGTTTGTCTGATCAATAACTGAGGAGATGCAGTGCGGCTTGAGAAACTGTGAGATACCTGGACAACATCTCATTCCCCACAGCAGAAAAACTTCATGTCATTATGACAGTTTGTATTAACCGAGCACCTCTCGTCTCCAGCAGAAGAGTCCAGAACGGCTCAACTGAGGGATAGAAAACTCACCACTGATATGACAGGACTGATGTAGAAGGAAAGAAATGCAAGATTTAAGTCGATCTCTTCAGAAGGAATGTCAGGGCGAGAAAGTGAGATGAGACTGAGAGAGGGCAGAACAGCATCCTTCAACGTCAGGCTGACACTAGCGCTTCAGATGTAATAAGTGATAGAAAAAAGCCTGCTTTCCTGATGAGTAGAGAAAAAGAGACAGTAGCTCTGTTCCAAACACTGCTGAGCTGCATTTCTAAGTACTGTATCAAAAAGCCACTGCAAACTGCAAAATTAAAAAGATACCTCATTTTGACCAAAATCTAACATCACATCAAAGAATCAATAAAAACTTCACCTTCCTAGGAAGATACTGCACGTTTGAAAATTGTAATTCTAAACATAAAACGTGCATAGGAATCATTTTTACCACTAGTTCAACACAATAAAGAGCAAAGCACATGCATTAGGTGTGTGATCTATGCTTTATCTGTGTATTTTATTATTTCATTATGCTGACGCAGAGAATGATGGGAAAAGTAGTTTTACATAATTTTTGGTGTTTACTTTTAGATTTATGCATTTGGCAGATGCTTTTGTCCAAAGCAACTTACATTGTATTTAAGCTACATGTTGATCCCAGTGTTATTTTAGAATTATATATTTATTTTCATAATTTAGAATTAGGTTTTATTTTTATATTGACTGTTTTAGTTTTAATTTTAGTTAAAGTTTTAGTATTTTTGTCTTTTTATATATATATATATGTCTGTAGTTTTTATGGAATTATTTTTAGTGCTTTAAACAAAAATGCTAAATAGGTAAAATAAACTAAGTTTATATATTATTTTACTTCAGGAAATGTTTATTTTATTTCAAGTAATTACTTTTTTGTATATTTTTTTTTTTTTTTTTTTTTTTTTTTTACAGCTCACTTGGGTTTGGAACAGATCTCATATGTGTGTGTATGTGTTTATGTGTGCTGTAAATGTTTTAAAGAGTCATTCTTCTGTATAATACACTCGTGGAGCGAGGTTAATGCTCAGGTCTCATGCACTCACAGTCTTTCAATTATGTTTCTATTGTTATTGCACACGTTTAAACCCATCCCATAATGCATTTCAGGAATACTTCTGAAATTATCTTTGACAACATTTTTCGTTCTCTCGGTGTGCTTCCATCATCCACAGATTGCATGATGTATGTCACATCACGCAAACAAACAGCACCGCCATACTAAAACACCTAATGAGCTAATGATTTTTGTCAAAACGCAATGTATATGAACTTTTTGTGTTATCAACAGAATGCCGAACCCAGGTAAATGACAGTGTGAAGGCGGAGATAATGAACTGCGAGAACTTTATGATATTGCTGTCAGAAAAAAACAACCTTTTAGTTTTAGTCCACCTGGATTTGCTTTTGTTTGCAGTATTGCTTGTCAGTGGATGCATTGAGGATGTATTGACCGTAATTGCAGCGCTTGTATTACATCTTGATAGATCCATTCTCTAAGAGCACGGCTTTGTCTTGGCTCGCAAAATAGCAGAACTTATGTACAGTGACGTTTATAGCTGGCATAGCCTGCAGGTCTTTTTACTTGCCTCAATGAATAAATAACTCAGTTTGCTTTAGATTTATTGAATTATGGAGTGAAAGATGTTGCTCTTTTCTTTCTGTGTTTAGAGAGACGAGAAAGGTCATATGCCAGCCGAGTGTTAGTCAGTGTGTACGTGTTGTTTAGGCAGAAAAATAGTTTATTTTCCTCAGGCCGCCCTCGTTTAAAGCGACAGAGGTTGGGATTGTTTGTGAGTGTGTGAGAGAGCGTTTGTGATTGTGTGTGTTGTGTTTGCAGGGGCTCTGCAGATCGAGAACAGCGAGGAATCGGACCAGGGCAAGTATGAGTGTGTGGCGGTGAACAGCGCAGGAACACGCTACTCCGCTCCTGCCAACCTCTACGTCAGAGGTAAGATCTGCAACCAAATCCAAAACCCCATCCCATTTCACCTCGATCTGCTCTCCATACAGGCTTTACCACGGCCAGAACAGGACCTGTCGCTCAAAAGCTCACATTTCTCTCTAATCACCCATTTGTCTTAATAGCAGCACGGTTCTGCAGTGGAGAACTGCTCCATTGTTTTCCAGCTTTGAATAATCAAGAAATGTTTTCCACAGCTTTTCACTAAATTAATTAGAAAATTTTATTTTATTTTATTTTATTTTATTTTTAATGTATTTTTTATAAATAGTAATGCATAGTAAACAGTTTTTGACTTTACTGTGAAATTACAAGCTTATCTTTACAACTAATATACTTTTTAAAAGCTTTTAGATCCAAGATGATTATAGTTGATTTACACTGATTATATTTGTAATCATTTTTCTCCCAGTGATCTTTGCTATTTCTGTTATTTTTGATCTATTTCATGTGTTTTAAATTGAATATTTCTAGAATATATTCCATTACTTTACAGTTTGCGTTGCATTAGCTGTTAGTTGTGAGGAGGTCGGCCTTTCACCAGAGATCATTAAAAGTCTTAAAGGTACAGTAGAAAAAGCAGCCTGTTCAATTGGTAATGCCAGAGAGAGGTTGAAAATATTAAAGTACATTTTTTTTGTGCTTGAAACCTGATTAGCATTATAATTGGACTTCAGGAACAAGTGCAGAATATATTTAAAATTGGTAAAGAGTAGCAAATGAGATAAAATGCCCTCTAATGCTGCTGGTCATGAAGGTTGGTGGAAATGGTGAAAGGGTTGTCAGGGCATCACCAACGAAAGGACTGAGTTGAGACTTGCAGGCTGGAATGGAGAATCCCGTTGTGGAAATTCCCTCATTAATGTCGGGATCTATTACAGCAGATATAGAGACCACTGAAGCCTTGTTTCAAAGAAACGCCTTTTATTTAACAGACACTTTTGCCAGGCAAGTGCTTAAAGGACACTTCAAACTCAGACTTTCAAATATGGTGATGCGTTGTACATTGTTCTTTGATAGTGTGTTTTGAATTTTGCATTTGTGTATGTGTTTGAAATGTAAACAGGGGAAATGAGAACTAGACACAAATCTTTGTCCATAAATTCTCCTGGTCTTCTTCCTCAAGCCCTCGACCAATCGGAGAGAAACTCATATAAATGATGCATCGTGCAGATCATATCATGTGAATTCTCTCTGGAGCCCTTTGATCTTTAGACAGACCACACGTGCTCTCAGGACGTGCCTTTTGATGAATGACATTTAATATATATGTATGAGCATCAGATGCTTTATGGTGAGAGAGAGATGTTCTCATTTTGTTAGTCCATGAATTTTTCACTGGTAGTGTCATACTTTTATTGCTTTTCTATTCAAGGGTTTACTATTGATGTGTCTTCATGGTTACGTGAACTCTATAGGCTTATCACTGTGTGTGCATGCGTTTCTCTTGCATTGTTATTCTATAACTAATGAGTTGGGCTGGACGATAGAGCCCTTAAATAATATATGGCAATATCTCAACATTTTAGTATTTGCTTTAAAGGGTTTTTTCATTGCGAGGAATCGTCATTTTAACCACAGCTATTACATGTAAATTCAAAATGTTTAAAGTTAAATACAGTAAAAAAAAATATTTAAAATAATCAAAAGAATGTTTTTTTCCACTAAATGAATGAGAAGAATATTTAATTAGTTTTACTTATTTTAGTTAAAGTATAAATTGCACAGTAAACATAACAGTATTTACTAGTACACACAACAGCATTTGCCAAGATATATATTTTACTAAATGTTAAGGCATATAAATTGCCTTACATGCACTTCCATTAATATTTTTAGCAAACAATTCATGGAATCAGTGAATCATTGATTCTTGAATTGATTCATTGAAATGAACAGTTTGAAGAACTGATTGACCTAAATGAATCAAACTAAATGAATCAATGTTTTCAATACAATCAGTGTTTATAAACTTATCGGCCAGCCCTGCTAATGAGGATATTTTCTGTATGCTGTGATGTGGTTTTGTTCTTCTTTATAGTCTGACTAACTAGAGTCTCTCTCCAGGTGTTCAAACTTCACTGACACACACGTACTCTAACAGATCTCTTCTGAACGCTGTGTGTGGGCCTGTGTGTGTTTGTTTAGTGCATTTCCTCCTCCCTCTCTCTCTCTCTCTCTCTCTCTCTAAAAGCTGTCTTTTTTTTGTTTGGGTTCAACTGCAGTGAGTAGGTGTTTATCACTGTATATAGGAGTGATCATTCCATAATTGCTTATCCTATCATGTGAAAGATTGTGTGTGTGTGTGTGTGTGTGTGTGTGTGTGTGTGTGTGTGTGTGTGTATCT